CCCTCGCGGAAACTGTCACGCAGAGATTCCAGAAGACGTGTTTCCGTTAAGGAGCTTTTATGTTGGAAGCGATTACGGAAGCAACCACTGTCGGAATCTGCTAGTGACTAGAGTAGCCATGTCTGAGGGGCTCTGTCACAGACAGAGGTTTGTGGACTTGAACAAACTCTGAGGGGATACGATTTTACGCACAAGCAGCTCATCATCCCATCACACTACCTCTCCATCGAAAACCGCTTTCTGTCCATCAGCTGCTATTGCAAGTTATCTTGCAAGTGCCTCTGAACAAGCACCAACTTCTCACTCATGGTTTTGCACAGTGCTGGCATTTTCCAGAAGAGCTTTGCACCAAGGCAAGAGACCACCCCACCAATGTGTGAAAAGTCCATGATAATGCCTCTTCCGTGTCAGGTGGACTCAACACACAGCTGGCAGAGTGAGAAAAAAGTATTCGGTTTCAAGATCTGAGCAAACAATGGGAGGGAGGCACTACAGCTTGACCGTGAAGGGTCTACGGGAACAAAACTTGCATCCTGAAATGCTAAAACAATGGGAGCATTATATTCCATCCTGGATCTACTGCTGCTTCCACATTCAAGACCACCCTTCATCTAGCTCAGTACGAAACAAAGACCCTGGATGGCTACTGCCCAACAGGGATATTTTGCAGCCCCTACCTGGAGATTAAACCTGGTACATTTTGCAGTCTTTGAGCTATGGCCCTTCCTCCAGTTCATTATTGACACATTAGTTAACAATAGGCCCCACTGTTTAACGATGATGATGATGGCAATAGAATTCAGCTTTAGGAGCTGACACAGTAGTCTGTTGGCATCATAAAAGCGACTGCTTATGTTTATAGCCCCCAGGATTTGGCCCAGGCCCATGCATGTGGTTCAGAGTGCATGACTAATGGAATGATTAGTCAAGGTTGGTGAGAGCTAGAATGGTACTTTCTTTCGGGGTGGGGGAAGAGTCAAGATCACACTCCGAAGAGCTTTTCATCTCATGGCCCATAGCAACTTCACTTGTTTCCTTGCCTGTACCCAAAGGAGAGATATGAGAGGGAAAGCATGTGTCTGTGGACTGTACCATCTCCAACTCTCTGGCTTTTTTTAATGCTCCTCCACACAAAGAAAAGCCCTGAACATGAGAGGAAAATACTAGTATCAAAACCTTTTAAGGGGAGGGGAATTTTGTTATGGAGAGAAGCATTAAGGGATGTGAATTTCCACCCATAGCCTGGAATGGTACAGTCCACTTGCGAGAAGGCTTGAGTCAAGGGAGCAAAGTCTGTGCCTAAAACAAGTTTAGTTCTGCCAGGATAGCTTAGTTGGTAGAGAAGGAGACTCTTAATCTCAGGGTTGTGGGTTTGAGGCACATGGTGGGCAAAAAAGATTCCTGCACTGCAGGGGACTGGACTTGGTGACCCTGGGGGTCGCTTCCAACTTTACAATTCTAAGTTCTGAACAGCTTACGGACCCACCAAGCCCTTACTCTGTTTAATCAGGGTACTTGCTGAAAATCAGCTGCAAAAATAAAATTATAAGGAAAAACAGAAATATTTGTTTTAAGGAGGCCTTTGTTAGAATTATTTTTATGATTCAATACAGCAAACGGAACTTCTCCAACACATAGCCCCTAAGCTAAATATTTAATTGACAAAATTATGAAGCACCATCAAGATCTCTCAGTACAGGAATGCTATTTTCCTAGAAAACACATTTCCAGTTGAGTGTTCCAATGGAGAGATATGAACTGCTACACTGCTCAGGATCCCCAAGATATTAAATGGAGGCAGATGTTTCTCATGAGCCAAAGTTGTTCAGTTACAAGAGTGGAGCAGCAATTCTTGCAATCAAAGACGGAACTCTCTTGAGAGGGGCAGAATTGTCAAATTTTACTCAAGTCAGCATTAATGAAAGATGTTTGGGCAGCAGGTTTTGATGCTTTTTATTCCAAGTGTAAGGACAAAAATTCCTGTAGGCTCAGAAAATATATGTAAGCAAGCAGTATTATTAATATCGCAATGGAGTTCCTTTTATTTTCTAGATGAAGTCAGCACGCTAGATTAAACCACACTATTTATGGCACAAACAGTTTTTATAGGCAGCCATAAGAGGACTCAGAAACTATTACGATCCTGTTAATGCTTGAAATGGTATTTATACCTTTCCCTCTTCACAGACCTGGCAGCTTGTCTATAAAAACCCAGCTTCAAAATAGTTTTATCGTATTCTATTTTGACATGAGCAAGCATGCCCTGTCACTCACTCGCCATATACACAGGGGGGGGGGGAGAAGCTGCTGGCCTGTGTTAAATCATCAAAAGCAACGGTTTGACTGTCCCCGAGGCAACTTTGAAATAAAACCATTGCCCTGAAAACTCTACACAGATATTTCAAAAAGCAAAGCAGCATTCCTAACCCATTGCTCTCCTTTCAGTGCATCACAATAAGTACTGTTTAGGGCACTTCAATCCTGGACAAGCCAACTTAAGAGAGAGAGATCACTTACAAATTACATGTGTCTAAGACTGAAGTACAAAAGACATGTAAAGGCACCTCAGCAAGTCAGAAATAGAGAAGCAAATACATTAAAATACCCATTTACTAGCAGACGACAACACTCCTTCTCCAGCTTTTATCGAAAACACGTTTCTGCCCTAAAACAGAGGTCTTCAAAGCGGTTGATATTGACCTGTGGGGTCAGTGGGACTGTGCAAAAAAATAAAAATAAATCTTTTGTAACCATGAGTCATGGGGGGAAAAGGCATGAGCATGTACAGAGTGCACCTCTCATGCCAGTGAGGAACCTCTGCATTTAATAAGACGATGCCACAATATAACAGTATTCTTTTATTTATAGTTTCATAAACCTAGCAATGGTGACTGATTAATAAATGTTGATTATATATTGATATTTCTTGACTTTGCTTCATTGACATTCCTAAGAATTTGGGCTGGGTTTGAAGGCAACTTCACAAGCTTATCATGGACTCAACAAACTCAGAATTCTGGGGAACCTTGCTCTATACAACATAATATCTCAACTTCCTTGACTCAGGAGCAGTGCTCACTGTTTTCGGTAGGATCTGATCCCAGGTAAGTTAAGACGATTGCAGCCAAAACTTACTTGGGTCCATTCTGTAAAAACCAGCCTGCTGCTTAAATCCTGAAAATCCAACTATGTCCATTTTCCCACGATCTGGTCCAGGGGAAAGAAAAGTTTCATTTTATACTAAACCAACCTGGAACTTCCAGAGAATCTAAACTTGTGACACGTGGTAGAGAAAATCTGCGCTGTTATGAACATTTAGGCTGCAAGTCAGTGAGGCTTAATGGCTCTTACTTCTAAGTAGACATGCCTACGGTATTGCATGATTAAAAATCATGGAATAAGCGCAATATGTAACCATAACATAAGCAACCTTTCGGGAAAATAAAAAGCATATAAATCAGGGTATATTTGCAGTGAGTTATTATTCTACAACCGCCCTAGACATGCACATGGTCTCTATTTTGGGTGGCGGTTTGATATAAAGCATGCAGAATTCAAAGACGCAGTATTTCTACATTATTGCAAATGTATCCCAGCAAGATCAGAGAAAAGAAACTGTTTAGCAAACAGCCTGAGCAGATTAACAGGCAGCTGGGCAGAAAATTGGCCGGATCAGATCCCTACATTTGAAACATGATTACAAACAAACGACGACGAAACAGGAGGTTTTTTTACCTTTGCAGAGACATGATTTCACAAGCCATTCCTGAAAGTTTTCTCTGAAGGGGAAACTGGGAGCTGACCTCCTTCACTTCTTCCTCTCTGCACTGCACCGTAGTCTCGGGCTAGCCTAACACAAATCTTTTTTTGAAACCAAAAATAAAAATAAAATAAAAATCCCTGCCCGCAGCCAGCAGCGCTGAAGGCTCCAACCCGTCGCTTCCTGCCTTGGCTCCGGATTCAGTGCTCTAAAGCTACCGGAGACATTCAGAGAGACACGCTCTCTCCCTTTGCAAGCTGCGATTATTTACCGTGCGCGAAGGGAGAGGCTTCAGGTTTCCAGCCCGCTCGAGGTCTTCCCCCTTTTTTGTGCGCCCGTGCAAAGAAAAATATAAAGCCACCCTCCGAGTCCACTTTGACCTTTTGTTCCCGAGGAAGCAGCTGAAGCATCCAGCCAATCAGAAATAGCAGCGGGTGACAACCAGTGCAGGCTGCTCGCTCGCCTCCTCCTCTCCTCCTCGTAGGCGCGTCGCCATCCCGGGTAACTTGAAACTTTCCCCAACAATTCCGCCCCGCCTGTCAATCAACTGCGCCCAACGGAGCTTGAGAAGCCAGAGAGGGAGGCGATAAAAAAGGGACTTTCAGCACAGCATGGGAGGAAAAAAGAAGATATTTGGGGACCTCTGCAGCCCCGCAAGTCAAAAATAAAAAAATATGGGGCTTGTTATTGACTGATGGGAAAGTGGGGTTGGGGGAGAGGAGTGGAAAACCCAAATCAGGACGCCGGAATAAAGCTGCAACGACCGGTTTCCTCCTGCAAAAGCATCCTACGTGCTCAAAGCCCCATCGCCACGGTCTGGGCGATGGGACTTCGCGCGCCGCATACAGCGCTTTCGCTGTGCAAGCCTCTCCAGACATCGCGTTAAGCACGTCGCTGTCACTTATTCATTTTCGGGAGGGGAAGGAGCAAGCAAACCAGAGCATCTTTCGAGTGCATTGGCACAAGCCCCTCGGGACCTTTTTAGGGAACAGCAAGCAAAAGTGTCTTGGAGAATGCCTTGTTAAAGACCAGCAAAGAATTTATCGTGGAAGGCAGAAATGAGGGCAAGTGATACTTGCCTTCTTGATGGTAAGGTAAAGGTAAAGGGACCCCTGACCATTAGGTCCAGTTTGGGGTTGCGGCGCTCATCTCGCTTTATTGGCCGAGGGAGCCGGCATACAGCTTTCGGGTCATGTGGCCAGCATGACTAAGCACGGAAACGCTATTTACCTTCCCACCGGAGCGGTACCTATTTATCTACTTGCACTTTGATGTGCTTTCGAACTGCTAGGTTGGCAGGAGCAGGGACCGAGCAATGGCAGCTCACCCCGTCGCGGGGATTCGAACCGCCGACCTTCCGATTGGCAAGTCCTAGGTTCTGTGGTTTAACCTACAGCACCACCCGCGTCCCCATCAAGAACCCGCGTTCTTGATGGTAGTCATGGGCAAAGCCAGGGGCCGGGGTGGTGGGGAGCTGGCCCCCAAATCAAGTAAATAAATAAAAGTAGAAATTGTCGAAAGATTTTTACAGATTTTTCTGAGCACTTGGGGTCTAAAGGAATTAATTTAAACAAAACCCAAAAAACTGTTGTTGAGACATTTCATTCTGAATCTGCAAGAGAAAGCTGGACAGAGGATGTTGTCAGGTGGGTGTCCTGCCACCCCTCCCCCACAACATAAATCCTGGCTATGCCCATGATTTGCAAAATCCACAAACACATAAGCCCATCTAATGGTGCTGCTGTTTTAGGTTGGGATTCAATCATGGGCACATTTGGGATGCTCAAGTAAAGTTTATTCCGCCACAAACCCAGTTTCCCCTCAAAATATTTTTTCTTTTTGCAGGAAGGGAAGTGATGGGTAATGCGCTGGAAGGTGTGGGTTGGCTGCTGCTTGATGCAACATGGTGTGATCTCCGCAGAAACAAATAAGAATTAACGTACGATAAACAGCCCACATCATCTAACCTCCCTGCAAACTTTGCGCAAACAAATAAGGACAAATGCTCAATAAACACTGTTGTCGTCATTTATGAATCACTTCCAAGGAAGCATCTTGAAGCAATTTCACAATGCAATGGAAACACATATAGAACAAGTGCATGTATCAACACAATTTTGAATGAACAGACTGTTGTTTTTGTGGCAACTGACTAACAGTTGCCTCTCTGAGAAGTATTTATTTAAGGCTTTTATACATAGCCCTTCACAATATATCCCCAGGGCAGGATAACTAAAGCTTTCTCCCCTTGCAAATGAAAATGCATAGTTAGGCAGCAATCCTATACATATTAACATAAAATCCAGTTACAAAAGGTGTGCGCAGTACCAGCTTCTTATCAAATTTTGTTTTGTTTTGTGTTTTTGGGGCACTGGTTATTTCATAATCATTTTTGTTCTAGTTTCCTTTCACGTGTTTGTAACAGGTAAAAGTAGTTTATTGTTCTCATTATTGATATTATTGTTGTTTGACGGTGTTGGGTAAATTTTATTATATATTTTGCATTGACTGTGGTTTGTTTGTTTTTTAAATTCATTGCTAAAATAACCATGTTTTGTCCAACAAAGCCATCCTGTCCGCGTAAGGACTGCTGCTTGCACAGAAGAATCCTCCCCTTTCCTCTCCCCACGA